CCTCGGGGCCAGTTACAATGGGGTGCTTCTGCCACTCCTGCCCAGTGAGGCTCACTTCAGCCTCCAATACACTCAGCTCTTGGAACCCCCCCTGTCTCTCCCGAAATGCAAGTGGACGCTGACCCTTTGAAATCTGATGGCATTAAAGTACACTGTGCACCAGTGTCCACTAGAGCTTTATACTCTTGTGGATCTGATGTGCCAGGCCATCGCATCCACATTTTCCAAGAAACCCAGTTGTCCCTTTCCTCCACCTGGCTGGAGGCATGGTCTCTCTAATCCTGGTCAGAGAATTTATTACTCACTTGCTGTAAGAATGACTTGGAGGTCCCTTCCAAAGGATCGGAATCAAGATCAAACTGCCTACCTGGTCTGGAGAGCTGGCTGGTGGAAACTGGACCGGCGTTTTTCCTAACAGAATCCCCTTTGGTGATTGTTTTGCCTCCCAACTCACGCACTCGTGCCTCTAGACTTGAGGTAGGTTTTCCATCCCACTTCCTCATGTCCTCTCCATGGTCACGCAGGCAGAGCCACAGGGTGACCCATGGTGTATAGCCTCTGTATCTTCTCTCCTGAGCAGAGAAACACTTGCCCCTAATAGCTGAGACACTGGCCCATAAGGGTGGGGAGTAGGACATGCTCTCTTGAAGTCACAGGACCTTCTGGGACAATTTCTTCATGGCTTAGACTAGGGAGGAAGAGAAAGTTTCCTCATAAGGTTTGGACACCCCCCCCCACCTGCCACTGCTGCCTCTTCACCTTTCCAGTTTACAACTGCCAGTGAGTTGGCATATGAGGATGGTGCGCTTCGCACAAACTTCTTCCACATGTGTCGTGTGCACTGGACTTCATCTGGGTCTGTGGGTAACTGCTCACCATCTGTGTCATAGTAAACCAGCTCCCGCACAGCTAATTCCCTCAGGTACTGAATACCTCTTTCCATATTTGTCCACTTGCCAGAATAACATACAGCATCCTCACTGAAGGGGTAGCTTTTCCTTACTCCTGACTGAAGTCACCTCCAGAGGCTTAGCGCTTGTTCCTTTTTCCCAATGGCCTTGTCAATGTCCCCTTCCCTGGCCAGGGATCCCAACTGCTTGGCTTCCTTGCCCTTTAATTCCAAGCTACTGGCCCCATTATCCCAGCATTATCCTCCCATTATCACCGCAGCAGCCAGGTGACAATGTGTTTACCTGGGTGGCGGCTGAATTTTTTCCGCATGTCTCACAGCTCACTCAGGGACAGGGATCCACTAAGGATCTCTTGCTCTGCCTCCTTCTCCTGCTCCTGTGCTGGTCCTTGCTCATTGTCCTCCCTCACCGTGCAATCTGAATTCTTTTTGTATTTCTTTTTCTGTATAGGGGCGACTGATACTGGAACGGTTTGGTTTTTGGTCTCAGCCATGGTGTCTGTTGCTGGAGATGGAGCAGCCGCCGTGCCTGCCAGTGAAGCCGGGGCAGCCCCTGCGGTTGTGGCACTGGCATGCTGGTTGGTGGGGCTGTGGCAGCCTCCTGGGCTAGAGTGGCTGCAGAGCCGGTTGGGTGGTTAATTTTTACCAGAAGTCAGGAGGGGACACAGCTGGGCCAGCTGACCCAAGCTGACCAAAAAAAACAGGGTATTCAATACCGTATGCTATCATGCTGTGTTCCAGCTGGGGAGCTGGATGAGAGCAAGTGAGTCGCTGCTCGGGATCATGCAGGGTATAGAGCAGTCAAAGTTGCTCTCTGCATTTCGCTGTTTTCTTTTGTATATTCTCCTGATGTGTATTGCTGTTATTACTGTTCGCTTTGTTTGCTGTTCTGTTAAACTGCCTTTATCCCAACCCACAAGTTTTTGCCTTTTTCTTTCCATTCTCCTCCCCACACCAGCAGGGGCAGGGGCAACAGAGCAACTTGTGGTTGTTGCCAGCCACAACCAAAGTGCAACACTCTCCGAACACACTATCCTTTCATCTGCAACCAAATAATTTACATTTAGGAGATATGCATTTACATTAATCATTTGCCTCTGATATCTCTAAAATCCTTGGTTCATATGTACCTACTTTGATAAACCATCTTAGTCCTTAGCCACGCAAAAGGTTTGAGCTAGTCTAGAATAAAAACTAAAATTTAAAAATTTAAATGTGATCAAAAGCTCTCTATAGAACTTGCAGCAAAACCTAAAAAGTACATACTTCAGCGTGGGAGGTGATTATTATTCTTCACTTCCATCACACGTAATGGTTACTTGGGAAAAAAAGACCGCCATAATTCCAAATGTCCCCCTTTGCTTCTTCTTCCCAAGCTTTATATGCTGAGCATGATGTCATATGATGTGAAATATCCCTTTAGTCAGTTGAGGTCAGGTGTCCCAGCTGTGTACCCTCCCAGTTTCTCATGTACACCCAGCCTACTTGCTGGTGGGGTGGTGAAGCAGAAGCAGAAAAGGCCCTGACTCTGTGTAAGCAGTGCTCGTAGTAATTAAACCATACCTGCATGGTATCAACACTGTTTCCAGCACAAATCCAAAACATAGCCCATACTAGCTACTATGAAGAAAATTAACTCTATCCCAGCCAAAACCAGCACAGATACAAAAGTAGCGTTCTGGAAAACGTATTTCTCTAGTATGCATTATTTGAAGTAATTTTCTAGATAGTACTATAAGCATTTAAAATATTGTCTCTATCCCTCTATTCTGTGATTCTAGCCCTAGTCTGTGATTCTGTGATTCTGTGATTCTGTAATAATAATTATAATAAAAATTATGATAATGAATACATAACACAAACTATATATAGCAGTTTTTCTCACCATACAATGACCTATTTGTAGCCAGACCTTGAGCAGCTCTCGCAGAACCCTGAAATCCTAAATTTCCTGAAATCTGCCTAACTGCCAGACAAGAGGTGATTTGAACTCATGGAAAAAGAAGAGCAGACAGCTCTCTGTCGCCCAGCAAACCCCCGTTCATAAACTGAGCATGACATTTATGGTGTGGAATATTTCCATTGGCCTGCTTGGCTGTCTGTATGACTATGCTCTCTCCCAGCTCCTGCATACTCTATTTAGCTGAATATGAGAAACAGGGAAAAAGTCATTGATTTCATAGCAACAATTAAATACATCAGTGTTATCAACATTCTGCTTGTACTAAATTCAAAACAGAGTTGTGACTGGGAGGAAAATTAACTTTATCCTAGCTAAAAACATGACACTACCTCTCTATAGCTGTAGTAAATCAGGATCCAAATATTAATTCAAAAGTTACTTGTAGATAAATTTAAACAAATGATTGTGTTGTAAACCCACACTTGTTTCGTCTGTACGTAGATATGTAGAAGTTTTGGCATTATTCTGTATGCATGTGTGAAAAATATTTGGATATTAAAATAGACATTTTGTTTTGTTCTGTTTTCTGATAATGCAAATTATTGGAGTCAAGTGATGATGAAAATCACTGAATGCTGAATAACAATAGGCTAGACAGTATGAGGAAGACAGGAACAGCAGATATGTATCGGAAAATACTTGTGTCAGAATACCACAAATTATGTCTCCTGACATGATATGAAGAGCAAAATACTGTATTTTACTGCTAAGTGGAAAAGCACAAGCTCAGTTGCTAGATCACAGACGTTGAGCACTTCTTGGTATTTTTTTGTTCCCTGGCTCTGTTTAACACAATTCCAATCTGATATAAGGGATACTATCCACAAACACAATAGTTCCAAGGCCATCAATGCTATTTAATGGTTTTTGCACCTCTTTTGTTAGCAGTTTAGATATAGACACTGAAAGAAACCAAAGGATAAGGCAGGTCTACTAAGCAGACAACAGAGAGATAGCCGAGAAATCATAATTTCTGAAGGATGTAGGCAAAAATGTCTGGCACACAAAGCAAAAAAATGAAAGGGTAGAAACATAATCTTTTTTCTTTCTCTCTGCTTGCTTTTCCCCTCTTACTTCCACGCCACTCTGGAAGGAAATCAAGAAGATCCTACTTGTCATACTTTGTACCAGAAGAAAGAAAACATGAGAGGAAAAATTAATATGATACAACAAAAAACAATCCCTTTGCCGGAATATGATCACTTCTGCTTCTCGGCAAGTGTAGATGGAAAGACTATCAGCTAGTGATATTTGCTTGTAATAAAGATTAAATAAGGAATTGGACAAAAAGCTGAATTTTCTTTATGCTGTGACAAACAAGGGCTGTGTTTCACAAGAGATATTTAGATGCCATCTAGTTTAAAATACAGTAATAGAGCAACAACTTTAAGATGAAATATTTATATAGATATATGTTAATTATTTTTAGTATTTATTGGTTTCTAACCAGTTAAGCAATGTTTAAACTTGAATATGAAAATGAAAGAGAAAAAATAACTGTTAAAAGTAAAATGGAAACAGAATATTATTCTGCTCTGATGGAAGAGGTAAAAAAGAAGGAAGATGGTACTAAATTACTTCAGCCATGAGGATGTGGGAGTAAAATTCACAGGGGACAGAATGAACAAAGGAAAGGCAAAGCTGAACTACTCTTGAACATTTGACTGAATTTGGAAACAGCACCAATGAGAAATGACAGTTTCTAAAAGGTATATAGATTGACTAAACATGACAAACTTTCACCAAAGAAAAATCTACATTTAAGCTATTTATTCAAACTCAATTTTACAGTCAATAGAGAAAACTTTACACTTTTTAAGTTATATTTACTCTTAAAAAAAATATGTATATAGATCACAGAATCATGCTACTGAAATTCCTATTTCTCTCCTCCAATTTAATAAGGACCTTGAAAGTATATACTGTCATTTATACCATAGATTATCCGTAAAACAAGCCCATTTTTCAATATTGTTCTCATAATGAAAAATGTCATGCTACTTGATCAAATTATGTATTCACATGTTTTGATTTGTTAACTTGTTTTAGAAAACCATATTACTAAGAGTTATGTCTTTTTACTCACAATCACAGAAAGAGAACAAAATAATGTAGTCCAAAACAGAATATTATTCTATAATCTGGAGTAGAAACTTACTTTTCCTAAACTCTCTCCTTGACATTTAGCTTTGTCAGACTTCACAATATATGTTCTCAAACTTGCACCAACAAATTTTGGTAGGTTGCTGTGTGGCTTGCTATTCTAGATTGTGATAAAGTTGGTCTAAAACACCTGTTCATGCACTGTTTTTAATATAAATTCTGTTATTGTTGGTATTCAAAAGCTTTAAAAATCTTAAGTAGGAATAAGTCTCTCATACAGATGCTGAGTTTGAATAGCTCATTTGACAGAATATGATACAGTTGATTATAAATTACCCTTGTGATTATTCTACTGAAAGATTTGAAAAGTATAAACTGGAGTTCATGAACCACAAAAAAAATGCATATTAATTTTTGGATAAAATGATAGTTGAAAACTGTTAAGTGCCAATTTGATTTACAATTACTTATGCCATTTCTCTTTTCTGTGAAATAAAAGCTCTAATTGCATTTCAATATCAGAACACAGTACCTAAATACTTTTAGTTTGTTCAGCTTTTGAACTTTTTTAGGTTTGGTTTGTTGTGTTCATTTTTTATTTACTGTGATGCCACAGAATATAACTAAATGTATATTTTCACTTATTTGGACTGTCATTCACTTTGTGAATTCTATAGAATTGGTGATATGTTTCCTTGTTTTTATTCTACTTTCATAGCAAATTTGGCAATTTTAATTTTATTTTACTGCAACTCTTTAAAAAATTATTCATCAACTAAGTTTTCAGTTATAAACTATGCAGTACGATGAGGTAGATGAAGTGCAACTACAACATGATACATGTGACACATGTAATCTTTCTGACTCTCACTCTCTCAGAGGTGTGATTCTATAATAAATCATTCATTCACTACAGCCAAAGGACGTCAGCACTGACCCCGTATATCTTTTGCCTAGTTGTGCAATGAAGCACCACAGTGTACTTTTCCAAATGTTATCTGTGCTAAAGTAATGATCTCTTTTCCATGCCAGTTTTCAGTTTTATGTAACATCTTGTTCTTCAGAAATACTTTCACTTTAATGCTTTGATAAGATCTTCAGATAAGCTCAGACTGTATAATTTTTGAGGTGTGTATATGTTCAAATGTCACTGCTGCACACAGATTATGTCATTCAGTCAGTAAGCAAAAATGCTTAGGACACACTTATGAATGTGCTAGTGACAGTGCTCTGAAAGTACTCAGTCTTATTAAACTCAGATTCCTCACTAGTTACACACATTTACTGAAAAATATGGTCTCAGATGAGTATACTGAGTATTCAGATATCGGATTCCTGCTCTTTGGAAAAGGAAGTACCTCTGAATTTTACAGTATAAAGGAACCATTCAAAATGTGATACAAGTAAAACAGTATCTTCTATTTTCAGTTTAAATGCTCAGTTTTTTATTTCATTTTATTACTGAAGATATGTTATTATTGACCTACATGGTTAGCTCTAACCATATGATGTTGGG